CTCCACACGGTATATATATATATATATATATATATATATATATATATAAAATAAATAAATACACAATTACCATTCATTTCTATGTGCATAAACCTTGGAAAATGTCATATCGTGTTGTCTGTAGCTGAATTATCGTGCATAAGTGCGCTGACATTTTCTGGCTCCACCAAGGCCAACATATTACTATTCCAATTCTGTATTTGTTTATTGCTCCTGTATTGTTTAGATATCAGGGTTTCCATTGGAAAATTAGCTCCTGTCTCAGCCCACCCATAGAGTTGGCATTCTCAAGTAACTCCCAGCTACCGCTGTGCCAACCACTCTCACTATAACTGCTTCAGTGATTTTGCTGACAAGGGTTATTGTCTTATGGAGTTTTTACACATCACTGAAGTATGTTGTGACAGTCTGGTTGTGTCTTATCTCCAAACTGTGATTATGTCGACATTAATATGAAGAATTTTCAAAAAGGGACAGTCAAAATGTGTGTGTGTGTGTGTCTTTGTATATAATATGTACCGTAAATTTTTTTTGAAGTTTTAAATCAAAGAAAGATTAAGTATGTTTTACAAGAACATACTATTTCAGTCTTATCTAATTTTGTGTTTAACTCAATGTTACTTGCAATGTTCTTTGTAATTATTTATGAAATTTCTGAGTGAAAATCGTTTAAAATGAAACCCTGCACCATTTAGGGTCAGTAAGACTTTTTTCCATTAAATTGATCAAATGTGACATAAAAGACAGTAAAAGAAGCCTATTGACCTTGAGTCCAACTCTCGATGCTGTACCTTCACTGCATCTTAGGTGTGTCCTTCACTACTTTCTCCTCCTCGTCTCCTCATCTTTATGGCCCAGCACAGGCAGTCTGCCATGATGTAATTCCTGGGAAGGTTAGGTGGGGAGATATTTAAAGACCCTTGGCAGAGCTCTTTCCCAGCCCATTGATTCTGTCATTCACAGGCCAGGCTGACTCCGCTGTGTCTGGGACATCCGATAGGGGCGGTGCGGCCCCCTGAAAAAACTGGGGCATCAGGCCGCATAAGCCCTTCACAAAGCCTCACAGAAAGGGTCCTGAAAGAGGACACCTCGAGAAGGATTAGTCACTCTCCCTCCCCTTGGTTACATTCTTTTCATCTTGTCCCGTACAATCAGAGAGTAATGACATAATCACTCTAAAACCCAATGTTTTGCCAGATTTGTCACTGCCAGAAAGCGTCACTCGGGCTGGGGACCTTGGGTGACATTCATAGGGATGGAGAACATCTTTACAGGTATAGGTGGGTTTTGTTGGATCCATATGCTACTTGATGTCCAGCCACCAATATATGTCATAGGCCTATTCGATTCTTAAAATCCCAATATCAGTCTTTTACTTTGTGCTTATTGTCCTGTAGATGTCACTGCGTTCTGCGTTTTTCATTTACATTTACTCATTTAGCAGGGTGTGATGAGGGCTTCATTCA